AAAATTTTATCATAACATGTAATTTTATAGTAAAAAATTCTTAGTATTATCTTAAAATCTGTTTTCATACCTAATTAGAAAATTTTGAAATCCAAAAATGGTTAAAATCAAGTAGATCTATAAATATATGAAAATCTTGAAAATGGACAGTGTAAATAATGTATTGCAAGATACACTATTTTCGGTACTCAAAAACTTTTTTTTTCATATTCATACATATCAATGTTGAGATGATCGATTAGAGGGTTTTTTCAACATTGAAACAACATTTCCGATAGATTTTTAAGCATCTGTGATTTTACATTTTAAGGTTGCAACCTTATTAAAAACTTATATATATATATATATATATATATATATATATATAGCCCACTAGCTCATATGAAGATATGAGCCCAACGTCCTAAATTAAATTTGGGCCGATCTGACGATCACCAATATCCAGTAGTGCTTGAATTTTATTTTATTTTTCTACAAATCCAAATCACTTGAAATTTTAGATATGTGTTCTTCTCATCAAGGCGCACCTAATTAAAATATTTAAAAAACTATTCTTGAAAAAAATGACCAAAATACCCCTTAAAGCTTTTCGAGGGTATTTTGGTAAATTTATTTCATGTAAAATATTTTTTTGATATTTTTTAAAGTTTCACCTATTACGCATAAAATTTTAAGTGATTTGGATTTGTAAAAAAAAAACTAAAATTCAAACACTACCGGACATCCGTGATCATCAGATTGGTCCAGAATCAATCTGGGACGTTGGACTCATGTGTTCATATGAGCTAGTGGGCTAATCCCATCTTTTCTCAATATATATATTTTTCTCTTTTCCTCTTTTTGTTGGGATTAGTCACTAAGCTTTACATTCCTAAAATTTGGGATTCTAAATATATTTACAATGAGTTTTACTTAAAAAAAGTGAATGAAAGATATAGATAACGTCCCGCCCTCCATTCTCACTGTAAACATATAAGAAGAACAGGAATAAAAACAGAAAAAAAAAAAGAAAAAAAAGGAAAAAGACAAGAAGTGAACGAATGATATACTCCTGCGAGAGTATATAATCTTTTGGCGTTAGTGTATGGCGTGGGTGGAGGAGTATTGATGTTTTGTCTTGCTTTTCTAGTTTTCTCACTCTTGTCCTTTTCCCATGAATCTACTTACTAAACTTCAATGTTATCATCCGGCTTTGAATCAACTTACTGAACTTCGTTATTATCATCCGGCCTTGGTTCTTTAAAATATTAATCTGGCTCTTGTCACTTTGGAAGAATTCGAAAAAGTTGGAATGATACAGAGAAGATTAGCATGGCCCCAGCTCGAAGATGACACACAAATATTAATTTGTCTCCTAACTTATATGGATTATATTTTTTAAATAAATAATAATAATAAAATATTTAGTGAGTGAGACAATTTGTATATCTGTCCTAAGAGTTTTGAGGACTCCCAAATATATTTCAAATTGCTGCAAATTCATTCTTGCCTCATATTTACGATTTTGAAGCTTAAAAACAATGTAAATATGATGATGGGTGTATCAAAAAGGATATATACAGAATAAGTCACTTTTAGTTTTTGATTATTTAGCATATTAATGATTGTGGTAGTCTAGATGATGTTCAGAACCCGCTGCGACATGCCTCTTGGATGCACATGAAGCACACCAAATCATTGTTATCAGGATTAGGGTGGCCACCGGACCACTGGTCGAACCGGTTTGACCATTGGTTGAATCGGTTACAGCGAATTTAAAAAGAATAAAGAAAACTAGTAAAAATTATATAATGGAAAAAAGAAGAAGAAGCTGTTTAACTGGTTTAATTGGTCAAATTGTACTTATCCAATACATTAAAAATTGTCAAAAATTGATTTAAACTTGTTGTTGGACAAATCTGGTTTTCATTTGAACCAAATCATCCAAGACATTGATTGGCAGTCCGACTGATTATTGACCAATTTAGTATGATATTTGTAACTATGCACCAAAAAATAATTGTGATTTTTGTTTTAAACTAATTCCTTTGAAGTGATCTTGGTATTAACAATTTTTATTGTGCATGATAAACATGGGATAGCAACCTTCTCATGGTTTTTCAGCTTTGGACTTTGCATTCAATACGTTATCTTTTTCTACTTTGAGGAATCAAATTCCCTGTTACTCAAATTAATTGCACTTTACCATGAGGTCAAGGCAAGTACTTTTGTAAACGATGAGAGAGAGAGAGAAAGAAAGATTTTGACAAGGAATTAGAGAGAGATTTCGGTTGGATTTGGTCATATCCACAATAAGCTAGATAAAAAAATCGCATATCATGTGGATCCAAATTGATATTGATAAGTTTTTTAAAGAAAATAGAAATCCAAAACGATTAAAACTCTTGGGTATATCTTTTGATTTTTAGATATGTGTGAATTCTATATGAAGTTTTTCATTTAGTGTGGATTCCTAATCTTATATATGTGATCAAAGAGAATGAAAATTTGCGCGCCCTATTTAGGTCACCATATGGGAAAGATAGCTTCCTCTAGAGAGAACCATGGGCTTCATTTGTTTGAAAGGCAATGCTTCTCCTTAGAGAGAAGAGAGCTTCCTATGGAGAAAAATATTGTAATAATTCGTCCTGTAGAGAAGAGGTTCCTTTAGAAATTTTGGGTGGTTTTTTTTAGTTAGACAGAAAGTCAGTTTTTATTGCTTTCGCTTCTCTATCTTGTCGGTAATGGTTGCTAGAAGTAAAGAGAAGGAAGAACGACATGTGGTGTTGCTCGACTGGGGTTTTCGAGGGTTAGATTGGTAACTCTATGTCACAAAATCTATAATATAGCTTTTATTGGTATAGTAGATTTCGCCGGTTGATATAGCCCTAGGTGAACTACGTAAATCTTTGTATTATTGTGGCATATGTTTCATGTTTTATTTCTCGTACTTTATTTGCCAAGAATCAACCTTTTACGCACAACAATTTCAACAGGGAAATTTTAAAGAGATATTTCGACATAAGAAGTAATTTGAGTCAACGTTAAGAAACGTGTCTTCGGTTCAGAACTCGGCCCTTGCCTGAGTTGAGTAATTTGGGTAAGTCCTAAGGGATTTCCCTGAATCCTCCATAAGCTTAAAAATGCTAAAAAATTGCCGAAAAAAAAAAAAGGACTTAGAAGTTAAAAATATGAGAGATACGTGGATTGTGTGACTCATTAAAAAAAAATCTAAAGAAATTTTTTTATTGAATCAAGTAAAGTCGAGATGTTGATGACGATAGTTGTGTGTCTTGTGACTATGCGGACATACCTAAAACAAAATATAAAGGAAATAGCTAATACCTCTTTTATATTGTGTTGTTAAAAAAGTAAGTACACTATTGTCTTTTTTTATTTTGTTATTTTTCCATAAATACCGTGGTTTGAAACTCCAAATTTTGATTTATTTATTTTTTTAGTCTTGTGGTTAGTTCGAAACTTCAAGATTTAAACCAACTAAATTTTGAACTATCGAGTTTGGTACTAGAAGTTTTTAACCGGTTATCTAGACAAAAGATTAAGTTTTGTCGATTCGGAACTTGAATTTCCAAATTGATTCAAAACTTCAAGATCATAATTTCGAGATCCGAACTAATTAGTTTTATGAATTAGTAGGTTCGAATCTTGAAGTTGCAAATTGGCCACTCGATTAAAAAAGAAATACGTTAGTTTCGAACTAAGGACATTAAGAAAAATAGATAAAAAGATAAAAAGGACGTGAGTGTAAAATATTAAGAATAAA